GTGTTTTGAAACAGGAATAATTATAATTAATCTTTTAATTAGCTTGCAGATTAATTTTGAGTCTTTACGAGTATTAGGAGAAAAAATGATTGTAAATTCTCCCTTAAAAATGTACACATATATAAACAGGGTGATTTAAATTTTATTTTTCTTCTTTTCGAATTTTTTTCTTTTTATTTGTACTACTTGGCATTTTAGGCCTAACATTTAGCGCAAATAAAGATAGTTCAATAAAATCTTCTATGATTAATATTTTTTATGTACCATTATTCAATTATTTTAATTCAAGCAACAAAAAATACATTAAAATAATTAAATTTTAATTTAAGGAAAATTAATTATTATTGTTTTAATTCAACATTTAAGACAGTTAAAAATTATTGTTAAGTACCAAAAGTTCAATATGTGGGGACTGATCAAAGAGTAATGAGACTAATATTGACTATGGTCAAGTGACGAGGAAGACACCTGAGCTGGCACCCTCACCACATTAACGGAAGACGTTTAAGACAAGACAGATTTAACATGCAATGGCCACTCTACGCGGCAAATTTTCAGTTGTACTAGTTTCGAATTCATGACACGCCAGCACGAGTCCATGACCTTGACCTCTAGGCTAACCAGATCCCAAATAAACTACTGAGACAATTGAAAACAAATTTAAGGAGTGTTGGAAAGCTAAAATCTTATTTTTTTGACAATTTGAGATTTTTACATTTTCAAATTGTATAGATTCTAACCTTTCTAAAAATACCTTACTTTAACCTTTAGGGTAAATAAAATCCCTTAAAACCTATTGTTTTTTTAAAAAAATGGTTGAAACTGGTCCTCGCCCATTTGAATGGCGAAAAATGTAAACAAAGTACTTCGTTTTAGCTTAAATGTTGAGCGTATGTTATAAACCAAAACACGTATCTTTTATTTAAATTGAGCCTTTTATTTTTTTATTACCATCCGATTAGAAATCTCACTGCATACATTAAAATTCAGTTTATCTCAAAATGTTAATTTTGATGTCCGATGTACCTTTTCAGAGAAACTACTGTTCACAGGTATGTAAATTTTTAATGGTATATTTCTAATGATGTCTAATATTTACTGAAATGAGCTTTTCGTAAAAAATTCAAAATGTTTGATAAAATATTTCATAAATTATTAAAAAATTCAAAATTAGCTAAAAGCTCATTTCAATATAATCAGAAAGATGTACTTCAATTGTATAAAAAATTTCAAGCATGTACATATAACAAATTTTGAGAAAAGGTACATCTCAAACAGCCAATTTAACGTTGTCAGTATATATATAGAGAAAGGATTCCTACTCCCCTTAAGTCTGTCAAACTTAAAGTCCTCCCTTGGCATGGTGTGTCAGTTTGGAGAGTTGGTACCAACTCGGGTGCCTTCCACCTCACTTGACCTATTTAAATTAAGAGGTGTCGCCAATACTTAAGAGTGCGATGCTAATATAACTCCCCCACTTATTCATATCAGATTGAACTGGAGAAAACACAGATGTTCCAGCCAAGTGTTCTGCTTAACAAACACACACACACAAAGAGAGTTTAAAACAGTCTCTTGATATATGTCTATTTTATTTTAATGAAAAGTCGTAATCAATAATTAAATGCATCGTCAATGAAACTTGAGTGAGTTATGTGAGTTGAGTGAGTTACTATATTCTTTCGAACAAGTGGTCGGAAGAATTATTGCAGAGAAGCAAGTCACGGTGGGGTATTCAAAATTTATAACGCCAAACAAAAGTTAACACTACAATGAGTGCATTTTTTTTTGTTGAACTTCTGACTTGTAAAATTTTTTCAATTGATGGAGAAAACAATTATAAATATGCATTTGTTTACTTCTGTGTATGATTTCACTGAAATGCGACAATTCCTTTGGTTATTTGTTTTAATGTTTATTGAAAAATGTTTATGGTTGTATAGTATATATATATAGTTGTACTGTTTCATATTAATGTACATCTGGTTTGGGAAAACGTGGCGTAGATATTAAAGATCCTTCCAGAAGCACCAACGAGATTCGAACTCATAATCTCCTGTTTACTAGACGGGCGTTAAACCAACTGAGCCACGGTGCCTGCGAAATATATGGATGTTGTGAATCTGATAAAAGGAGAATTACTCCGAAAATAATTCAAATGAAGGATTTTGAAATTTTCTCGAAAAAATGTCGTAAGTTGTTGCGTATTGCCCGAAAAGCAATGGAAATAAAGTTGTTTTAAATACAATTGCATAATCAAACGAACGACGACCGCTTCGTATCACTTTTAAAATTAGAGATATTTCCAGAGGCACCGACTAGATTCGAACTCGCGATCTTTACAAAAGGGCGGTTTAAACCAACAAGCCACGGTCCCTGCAGAATCTTTAAATGTTGTGAATTTGATAAATGAAGAGAATTGCTCCGAAGATAATTCAAAAGAAGGATTCTGAAATTTTCTTGAAAAATATCATAAGTTGTTGCGTATTGCCCGCGAAAAGCAATGGAACAAAATTTGTTTTAAATACATTTGCATTCAAACGAACAACGACCGATTCGTATCACTTTTAAAAGTAAAGATCCTTACAGCGGCATCGACGAGATTCGAACTCATGATCTCATGTTTACTAGACGGGCGCTTTAACCAACTAAGCCACGATGCCTGCAAAATCTTTAGATTTTGTGAATTTGATAAATGAAAAGAATTTCTCAGAAAATAATTCAAAAGAAAAATGTTGATATTTTCTTGAAAAAATATCCTTTCCTTTCTAAGTGATTCCATATTGCACGAATAGCATTGGAAACAAAGTTGTTTTAAATAAATTGGCATGATGAAAAGAACGACGACCGATTCTTATCACTTTCTAAAATTAATGATTCTTCCAGAGGCTCAGACGAGATTCGAACTCGTGATCTCCTGTTTACTAGACAGGCGCTTTAACCAACTAAGCCATGCGCTTGCGAAATGAATGGATGTCGTGAATCGGATAAATAAAGAGACTTACTCGGAAAATAATTCATATGAAGGGTTTTGAAATTTTCTCGAAAAAATATCTTAAGTTGTAGCGTATTTCCTGAAAAGCAATGGAAATAAAGTTGTTTTAAATACTTTTGCATAATCAAACGAACGACGACCGCGAATCGTATCACTTTTAAAAGTAAAGATCCTTCCAGAGGCACCGACGAGATTCAAAATCGTGATCTCCTGTTTACTAGACATGCTCTTTAACCAACTAAGCCACGGCGCCTGCGAAATCTTTGGGTGCTGTGAATCTGATAAATGAAGAGAACTGCTCCGAAAATAATTGAAAAGAAAAATTTTGAAATTTTTTTGAAAAACCATCCTTTCCCTTCTAAGTGGTTGCGTATTGCATGAACAGCATTGGAAACAATGTGGTTTTAAATACATTGGCATGATCAAAAGAACGACGACCGATTCCGCTGTGTTATCGCAAGGAGTCCAGCTGAAATACACTATTAAAGCTATACAAAACTTTCCCGGGCAAACTTGAATTGCACACCTTTTGGAAAATTCAAAAATGTCGATAAATCACAACAAAATATTTAGGACCCTCCTTCCAGCTCACACTCTTTGATGACAACATCCAGTGAGTTTCGGTAGTGAAATATCTGGGCCCCAAAATTGATAGCCTAACCTTCAAAAACACATCGACTATCTCTCTGAAAAGTTCTGGGAAGAATACATTTAGCCATCTCCCTTGTCGGGAAGGTCACCTCTCTGGAAAATAAAGTAATCTTTATAGCAAGGTTTGAGCCATGATCGTACTTCCCCGGTCTGGGGGCGTCAGCTGCCCCACAGAAAATAATCCAAGTAATTCAAAAAATACTCCGCGTCATGACCAACGCACCTTGGTCGGTTTGGTTGACGTTAACCGACCTACACATATGGAACCGATTTCTAATTACATCACTGAACTCTCTAGAAATGTTTTCACACACATACAAATCTATAGAATCTCATGAATATTCAATTTTTAAAGCACAATCATTTGTGTTGATTACTTATCCTCATCCTAAAATTAAAAAAGCATACTCTTCAACGAAGTGGAGAACCCGCTTCGCCCCCTTTAACACAACAATTCCACACTTTTCACAGAACAAGCAGTCTCGTTACAATGCATCATTCCTTTTGTTTTCATTTGGTGAACTGCCACCGTCTTGATTAACTGCCTCGGCGTTTCCCCCTCCGCCCCGCCAGCGTTCTGCCTCGTTGGAACGCTGTGCTCCGGGGCACGTTCATCCCTCACCATCCGGGTGAGCTTTCTGTATTTGACATCCTTCAGTCATATGGTTTTTCTTTTACTCCCATCCTTCTGGGGATAGGCGCCCGCGACCATCTAATTTTAGTTTAGTTAGTTAGAACGACGAACGATTCTTATCACTTTCTAAAGTTAAAGAACCTACCACATGCACCGACGAGATTCGAACTCGTGATCACCTGTTTACTAGACAGGCGTTTTAACCAACTAAGACATGGCGCCTGCGAACCACATGGATGTTGTGAATCTGATAAATAAAGAGAATTGCTCCGATGATAATTCAAAAGAAGGATTCTGAAATTTTCTTGAAAAAATATCGTAAGTAGTTGCGTATTGCCCGAAAAGCAATGGAAATAAATTTGTTTTAAAAACAATTGCATAATCAAACAAAAGACAACCGCTTCGTATCACTTTTAAAATTAAATACCTTCCTGGCACCGATGAGATTCGAACTTGTGATCTCCTGTTTACTAGACAGGCGCTTTAACCAACTGAGCCACAGCGCTGGCGAAATAAATCTATGTTATGAATCTGCTGAATGAAGAGGATTACTCCAAAGATAATTCAAAACAAGGATTCTGTAATTTGTTGAAAAAATATCGTCAATTTTTGCGAATGGCACGAATAGCATTGGAAACAAAGTGGTTTTATATACATTGGCATGATCAAAGAACGACGACCGCGCTTCATTATCGCACTTTTTAAAGTAAGATCTTCCAGAGGCACCGACGAGATTCGAACTCGTGATCTCCTGTTTATAAGACGGGCGCTTTAACCAGCGAGCCACGGCGCCGGGGAAGCGAATCTGTGGAAATCTATGTTATGAATCTTGCTGGATGAAGAGAATTGCGCAAGATAATTCAAACAAAGGATTCATAGCCAATTTTGTTGAAAAAACATCGTCAGTATTTGCGGAATTGCACGAAAAGCGTGGAATCAAGTGGTTTTAAATACGTGGCATGATCCGAGCAGGAACGACTGACCGCTTCGTATCGCTTTTAAAAGTAAAGAACCTTTCAGAGGCGCCGACGAGATTCGAACTCGTAAACTCCTGATTTTACTAGACAGGCGCGCTTTTAACCGGAAACTGTGCCACACGGCGCCGGCTAAAAAATCTTTTTTTATGAGATCACTGCTAAATGAAGAGAATTGCGCAAGATAATTCAAAACAAGGATTCTGTGAAATTTTGTTGAAAAAATATCGTGAATTGTTGCGAATTGCATGAATTCTTTGCATGGGGAAACAAAGTGGTTTTAAATACGCGTGGCATGATCAAACAACGACAACCGCTAATATCACTTTTAAAGTAAAAATCGCGAAGAGGCACCGACGAGATTCCGAAATCGTGATCTCCTGTTTTACTGAACAGGGCGCACACAACCATAACGAGCCACGGCGCCGGCGAAATAAATCTATGTTATGAATCTGCTGAATGAAGAAATTGCACCGAAGATAATTCAAAACAAAAGGATTCTGTAATTTTGTTAAAAAAATATCAACGTCAGGTATTGCGAAAGGTGCACGAATAGCGATGGAAACAAAGTGGTTTTAAATACACGATGGCATGATCGAACGACGGCTTAAACTTCGTACATCGCTTTTAAGTAAGAAGATCGCTCCAGGCACCGACGAGATTCGAACTCGTGATCTCCTGTTTACCAGAGAAGACAGGCGCTTTAACCAGGCAGGCCAGCGCCGGCGAAAAATCTATGTTATGAATCTGCTGGATGAAAGTACTCAGAAGATGATTCAAAAACAAGGATTCTGTAATTTTGTTGAAAAAATATCGTCAATTGTTGCAAATTGCACTTGAAACAGAGTGTTTGTAAATACATTGGCATGATCAAAAGAACGACGACCGCCTAGTATCACTTTTAAAGTAGATCCTTCAGAGCTTTTCCGACGAGATTCGAACTCTTGATCACCTGTTTACACTAGACAGGCGCTTTAACCAACTGAGCCACGGCGCCGGTGAAATAAATCTATGTTACATGAGATGCTGTAACTTTGAATGAAGAGAATTGCACCGAAGATAATTCAAAACAAGGATTCTGTAATTTTTGTTAAAAATATTTTGTCAATTGCACGAAAAACATTGGAAACAAAGTGGTTTTAAATTCATTGGCATGATCAAAAGAACGACGACCGCCTCGTATCACTTTTAGAAGTAGAAGACTACCGCTTCCCCGGATGTCACCGACGAGATTCACGGAACTCGTGATGTCCTGTTTTACTAGACAGGCAGCTTTAACCAACGAAGCCGCGGCGCCTGCCGAAATATAAGGGATATTTGTGAATATGATAAATAAAGAAATTAATCAAAAAATATATAATTCATCACAGGATTTTAAAAATTTTCTTGGAAAATACGCCAATAGTTATTTGCATATTGCCGGAAAAGCAATGGAAATAAATTTGTTTTAAATATAAAATTACATAATTAAACGAACAACGACCGCTTCGTATCACTTTTAAAAGTAAAGATCCTTCCAGAGGCACCGACGAGATTCGAACTCGTGATCTCCGGTTTACTAGACAGACGCTTTAACCAATTGAGCCACGGCGCCGGCGAGATAAATCTATGTTATGAATCTGCTGAATGAAGAGAATTGCTCCGAAGGTAATTCAAAACAAGGATTCCGTAGTTTTGTTAAAAAAATATCGTCACTTTTTGCAGGTGCTGAATAGTATTGGAAACAAGTGGTTTTTAAGTACATTGGCATGATCAAAAGAACGACGACCACTTCGTATCACTTTTAAAAGTAAAGATCCTTCCAGAGGTACCGACGAGTTTAGAACTCGTGATCTCCTGTTTACTAAAAAGGCGCTTTAACCAACTGAGCCACGGCGCCGGCGAAAAAAAACTATGTTATGAATCTGCTGAATGAAGAGAATTACTCCGAAGATAATTCAAAACAAGGATTCTGTAATTTGGTTGAAAAAATATCGTCAATTGTTGCGAATTGCATTGGAAACAAAGTGGTTTTAAATACATTGGCATGATCAAAAGAACGACGACCGCCTCGTATCACTTTTAAAAGTAAAGATCCTTCAAGAGGCCCCGACGATATTCGGGCATAAATGATCTCCTGTTTACTAGACAGGCGCTTTAACCAACTGAGCCACGCTGCCGGCAAAATAAATCTATGTTATGAATCTGCTAAATGAAGAGAATTGCTCCGAAGATAATTCAAAACAAGGTTTCTGTAATTTTGTTGAAAAAATATCGTAAATTGTTGCGTATTGCCCGAAAAGCAATGGAAATAAAGTTGTTTTAAATACAATTGCATAATCAAACGAACGACGACCGCTTCGTATCACTTTTACAAATAAAGATCCTTCCATAGGCACCGACGAGATTCGAACTCGTGATCTCCCGTTTATTAGACAGGCGTTTTAACGAACTGAGCAACGCCGCCGGCGTAATAAATCTATGTTGTGAATCTGTTAAATGAAGAGAATTGCTCCGAAGATAATTCAAAACAAGTTGGTTGAAAAAATATCGTCAATTGTTGCGAATTGCACGAATAGCATTGGAAACAAAGTGGTTTTAAATACATTGGCATGATCAAAAGAACGACGACCCCCTTCGTATCACTTTTAAAAGTAAAGATCCTTCCAGAGGCACCGACGAGATTCGAACTCGTGATCTCCTGTTTACTAGACAGGCGCTTTAACCAACTAAGCCACTCCGGCGAAATAATCTGATGTTTGAATCTGTAAATGAAGAGAATTGCTCCAAGATAATTCAAAAAAGGATTTCTGATAATTTTGTTGAAAAAAATATCGTAATTGTTGCGTATTGCCCGAAAAGCAATGGAAATAAAGTTGTTTTAAATACATTGGCATGATCAAAAGAACGACGACCGCTTCGTATCACTTTTAAAAGTAAAGATCCTTCCAGAGGCACCGACGAGATTCGAACTCGTGATCTCCTGTTTACTAGACAGGCGCTTTAACCAACTGAGCCACGGCGCCGGCGAAATAAATCTATGTTATGAATCTGCTGAATGAAGAGAATTGCTCCGAAGATAATTCAAAACAAGGATTCTGTAATTTTGTTGAAAAAATATCGTAAATTGTTGCGAATTGCACGAATAGCATTGGAAACAAAGTGGTTTTAAATACATTGGCATGATCAAAAGAACGACGACCGCTTCGTATCACTTTTAAAAGTAAAGATCCTTCCAGAGGCACCGACGATCGAAATCGTGATCTCCTGTTTACTAGACAGGCGCTTTAACCAACTGAGCCACGGGCGGCGAAATAAATCTATGCTTATGAATCTGCTGAATGAAGAGAATTGCTCCGAAGATAATTCAAAACAAGGATTCTGTAATTTTGTTGAAAAATATCGTCAATTGCTGCGAATTGCACAAAGCATTGGAAACAAAGTGGTTTTAAATACATTGGCATGATCAAAGAACGACGCCGCTCTATCACTTTTAAAAGTAAAGATCCTTCCAGGCACGACGATTCGAACTCGTGATCTCCGTTTACTAGACAGGCGCTTTAACCAACTAAGCCACGGCGCCGCGAAATCATGGATATTGTGAAGCTGATAAATAAGAAATTATTCCAAAATAATTCAAATGAAGGTTTTGAATTTTCTCGAAAAAATCGTAGATTGTTGCGAAATTGACGAAAGCATTGGAAATAAATTTGTTTTAAATAAAATTGGCATGATCAAAAGAACGAATCCGCTTCGTATTACTTTTACAAATAAAGATCCTTCCATAGGCACCGACGAGATTCGAACTCGTGATCTCCTGTTTACTAGACAGGCGCTTTAACCAACTGAGCCACGGCGCCGGCGAAATAAATCTATGTTATGAATCTGCTAAATGAATAGAATTGCACCGAAGATAATTCAAAACAAGGATTCTGTAATTTGTTGAAAAAATATCGTAAATTGTTGCGAATTGCACGAATAGCATTGGAAACAAAGTGGTTTTAAATACATTGGCATGATCAAAAGAACGACGACCGCTTCGTATCACTTTTTAAAAGTAAAATCTTCCAGAGGGCACCGACGAGATTCGAACTCGTGATCTCCTGTTTACTAGACAGGCGCTTTAACCAACTGAGCCACGGCGCCGGCGAAATAAATCTATGTTATGAATCTGCTGAATGAAGAGAATTGCCCGAAGATAATTCAAAACAAGGATTCCGTAATTTTGTTAAAAAATATCGTCAATTGTTGCGAATTGCACGAATAGCATTGGAAACAAAGTGGTTTTAAATACATTGGCATGATCAAAAGAACGACGACCGCTTCGTATCACTTTTTAAAAGTAAAGATCCTTCCAGAGGCACCGACGAGATTCGAACTCGTGATCTCCTGTTTACTAGACAGGCGCTTTAACCAACTGAGCCACGGCGCCGGCGAAATAAATCTATTTATGAATCTGCTGAATGAAGAGTACTCGAAGATAATTCAAAACAAGGATTCTGATTTTGTTAAAAATATCGTAATTGTTGCGGAATTCACGAATAGCATGGAACAAGGGTTTTAAATACGACAATCAAGAACGACGACCCTATCCTTTTAAATCCTAGGCACCGCAGATTGAATCGTGATCTTTTTACTAGACAGGCGAACCACTGAGCCAGGCCCGGCAAATCTATGTTATGATCTGCTAAGAAGAATGCACCGAAATAATTCAAAACGGATCTAATTTGTAAAAATATTAATTGGGAATTGCACGAATACATTGGAAACAAAGTGTTTAATATTGCGATCAAAGAGCACCCTCGCATTTAAAAGTAATCCTTTCCCAAAGGGCACCGACGAGATTCGAACTCTGATCTTTTCAGACAGCGTTTAAAAAGCAGCGCCGCGAAATTTTTATGATGTAT